ATCTCAGATTGGCCCACTACTTTGTTTTTAATTTGAGGAACACAGCCTGCAACTTTTTACATTCATAGCCTTCTTAAATTCAATATTGTCTCTTTAGGTCTACCCCACGGAGCCAAATTGCAACAGTTTCTGGTGCCAGAATGTGGCGACATTATATACTTTTCACTGTATCTAGGTACAAATGATGATATTAAATAAACCTAAATCTAAGCTCTAATGCTGAATATGGGACTTTTCTTCCTTTCCTGCCTCTGTGCCTGTGGGTTCGACTGTCTGGGCCCTCTGGATTTCCTCCCATTTAAAGTTTGAACTCTCTCATGTTTTTCCAGATTGGGAGAAAAATGCCTACCGTGCTTTCCCACCCTGTGACCACCGACCCCGACCCGCCCTTACCAGCTCTGAAATTGGGTGTAGTTCTTCTCCTACTGCTCCAATGTCAGGGCATGCTGGTCAGTGAAAAATAATCCTTTTTGCTCTTCATTCTCTCTCACGTGCAGGCTGATTCTCCCTCATCATTATTATACTGTATTATGCAGTTACTAGGCTCCAGTCAGAACTGAAGAACATACAAATGTTTCATTTGCTGCAACCGAACAAAGAGGGTTGTAATTCTGAAGCTATGCACTCTGTAAGAACTCCAAACAAGTCTGATGGAGCACACAAACCTGGTTGATGACTTGCCATTGTGACTCGTATCTTAACTGGACATTGTCTCAACATAACATTACCTGACAACAATGCATAACAGGTATCAATTATCTCATTTCTAAAAAGGACTGTATAAAATTAGGACAGGTGTCAGCCCTTGCAATAGGGTCCCAGCAAGTCAGCTCTCAGTAGATTTGGGGTGATTTAGTCCCCTGTGGAATTTGGACTGCACAGTAATGGGGCAGAAATCCAATGGGTGTTAGCATTAAAACCAATGTGCAGGTCAACTGAGAATTATCTCTTTGTCTGCCTAATCTTCTTCTCTTTCTCTCTCTCTGATCTCGCTGTCCACCTATCTGCGCACTTCCCACACCCCCCCACCCGCTGCTGTCATTAGCACAATTGTCAGCATTTCCTAGCTTCTATCAGTTCCAAAGAACTGTCACTGTGTTTTCGCTTCAATGAAGCTGCCAGGCCTGCTGAGTTTCTCCAGCAATTTCTATTTTGTTCTGATCTCCAGAATCTGCAGTCCTTTGTTTTGTTTTGCTTAGAACTAATTTCATTGAATTTTTGTGTAATAGCTGGATGACAATTGCTAACCTCTGTAGGGCACTGCCGATATCACTTTAAAAAGCCTGCTGGGAGGGGTCTCTGATGTTGACTTTTGAAGAGTCAACATCAACACAATCATTAACGGAACTTTCATACTGAATGGAATATTACTTTCAACATAAAACTCTCTCCATGGAAAGCCCTGTTAAAATTTGTCCTTTCTTGGATCACTGCTGCGAGATAGGCTGGTTTGTTTTTATTCCTTCATAGGACATGGGTGTCACTGGCTAGTTCAGTATTTACTGGTTGTCCCTAATTGCCCAGAGAGAAATTAAGAATCAACCACATTGTTGTTGGTCTGGAGTCATGTGTAGGTCAGGCCAGGTAAGGATGGCAGTTTCCTTTCCTGAAGAACATGAGTTAATTTCTGGAAAGCAGCCCTCGAAGATTTACTATAGATTTCCCACCAGAAATTGCTGCAACAACATTTCTGGTGGATCTTACTCTGCATGTCCACCATTGAGTTGAATGGGCAACAGTATTCCTTTTTCTGGAAAATAATCCACTGGAGAACAAAGGTTCAGTCCTGGAAATGTTCATCAAAGGCTGGAAGCCAGTTAGTGCTGAGTCTTTTGGCGTATATGTGAGTGCCAGTATCAGAATCCAGGAATGGGAAGGAAGATGATCACAACTCAGTTCATGGAAGTCATAAATATTCGGCAGGCTTGACACTAAATATGCTTCTGATTTTACAGCATTAATGTCACTGTATTTGAACGAATTAATTCTACACCATTTTTTGACATAAAACAGTCAACTAGAGAGGGGAATAGGTCCTCTCAATTCATCTTAAACTTGGTCTCTTCTGACTGAGAGACAGCACAAGCTGCTTTTCATGTTGCCTAAATGTAAATCATTCTTCTGAGGGAGGAAGTGTAATAAATACACTTTTTATAAACAGATTCTACAGGAGAATTTATTTTACAAACATCTAGCTTCAGTATGTATCTAATTATCACACACTGATAAGGCTCAGCAAAATTCTTCATTCATTTTAAATTCAAATATTTTGTACAAATTCAATAGACAAAGGTTAGTCAGAATTATTCATTAACCCCTTCATTTCCAAAGATACTATGCATTATAGTCAGATTTGTTCTTTAATGCATTCTGCTGCATTATCAACATGAAACTGAGACAAATGTGATAAATATTCTTCACATTCATTTTGAGAAATTATTTGATTTATATTTACATTCGGTATCGATAAAATCCAGTCAACCAAGAGGATGGAACAAAATCAGAAGTTGCTGGAAAAGCCTAGCAGACCTGGCAGCATCTGTGAAGAAAAAATCAGAGTTAACGTTTACGGGTCCTCAGAAGGGTCACCACATTATTGCAAGAACAATAACAATGGGAATTGAAGTTTGATGTGTGGACATTTCGGGACAAATTGTATTATAAACATTCGTAATGAAATATTTAAATTATAAAAAAAACAATTATAACATCAAGCATGGATCTGTCACATATCAGACTAGCAACAAATTGTATAAATAAAAATGACTGCTGCAAGCCAAATCATTCTCTTTGCTCAAATGAGTTTATTTCAATTGAATTTCCCTTGGTATACTAATTACACTAGTTGGTGTGTGTATGAAATATTGACATATCCAGGCAGTTCTGTTGTACACTGTCAAACCAAATTGTAATCATTGATAAATTAAAGGCATTAAGTGACCAAAGGATTTGCTATCTCTCTGTTATGTTGAAAGTATTACATGATCTCCAGTTCAGTGGTGGGGTGGTATGCCTCTTGCTATGGAGTTTGTAGCGGACTGGTTTGCAAAGTGTTCCAGGTTCAAATTCTGGTCAAGCCCTGATTGTGGTATTAAGGGATACGGGCCAAAGGCAAGTGTATGGAGCTGGGCCTCAGATCAGCCATGGTCTCATTGAATGGTGGAACAGGCTCTAGGGGCTGAATGGCCCACTCCTGTTCCTATGTTCAATGGGGTAAAGTAGCCAGACCATGTACAGCGATGGCTTCTCTTGTAATTCCATCTTTTGTGAGTGATCATGATCCATCATTAGCCCTCACTTCTTTTTGCCCCTGAACACATTTGCCTAAAAGGTACAACAGGAATAACATTGGGGTTCAATTTAATTAAAGACTGGCAGATTTTAATCAGCTGAATTGCAGAATTACATTTGTAGTCATAGAATTCCTACAGAGTGGAAACATTCCATTTGGCTTATTGAGACCACGCCGACCCTCCGAAGAGCATCCCACCCAGTCCTACCCCATCCCTGTAACCCTGCATTTCCCATGGCTAATCCGTCTAGTCTGTAAATCCCTGAACACTGCACGGCAATTTAGCACGGCCAATCTACCTAACCTGCACATCTTTGGGCTGTGGGAGAAAACTGGAGCACCTGGAGGAAACCCACGCCGACACGGGGAGCATGTGCAAACTGCACACAGATGGTTGCCTGAGGCTGGAATTTAACCCATGTTCCTGGTGCTGTGAGGCAATAGAACTAAACACTGAGCCATCATGTTGGCGTCATGGTGAGGTTCTCCTTTCCATTCCTGCCCAACTGCATTCTACCTTTTTCCAAGGCACAGCCTGAATTAGGAAAGACTCTCATAAATTCATTCAAACCATGACCTCATGTTGTATCTAGAACCTGAATTGCCACATTTACCAACCCATTGAGTGGAGCATCTGCATGCTCATAGGGCAGGAGAAAATTCAATACAGGTGACAAATTCTTTCTTGTGAGGTGATGAGAAGAAGGTGTGATACTCTGACCTGTTAAAGAGGATATGGGGCCATGCTCTTGCTGACAATAAGTAACACAACCTCTTAGATCCACCATTTTCTCAGCTGGCAATTTCAGCTGGCGAGATGCATTGGGTCATCCGTTTGTTAAATACACCATGTTGCATGTATATTCATTCTGTCACCTTGGCGACCTAAAAGACGAAAATCAACATCATAACTGACCCCATAATCCAAAGAACTGCTGAAAGTGTGCAGCACAGAAAGGGGCTATTCAGCCCGTTGTATATGCGTCATCTGAAAAGATCAGTCACTCCTTCAAACCCTACTTCCTAGCGCCTGGTCCATAACCTTGCAGCTATGAAATGATTCAGATCATTTTAACTCAGTTGAGGGTTCCTGCCTCAACCACTAAAGTGGATAGTGAATTCCAAACATCATTCACCCCCCTCTGGGTATATAAAGGTTTTCCTCAAGACCCCTCACATACTCCTATGGATCATCTTAAATCTGTGCGTCCTGACAATTGGCTTCTTTACCGTCAAAACCAACTCTTGTCCTTGTCCACTCTATCTAAGTCCTCCATTATTTTGTACACCTCAATTAAATCAGCCCTCAGCCTCTCCTGCTCTAAGGAAAACAACCTTTGATCTCCAAAGTTACTTCATAGATGCAATTTTCAAGCCCTGCTATACCTGACAATAGCCAAGATTAATTGAACATGATTTGTATTTAATCTTATTCCAACAGATACAATAACACATGATTGCTGCAAAGGAAAACTTCGCAGATTTGCAGATGACATGAAACTTGGAAATGTTGCACACTGCAAGGGGAATAAAGTGGACTGCAGAAGGATAGAGACTGATAAAATAGGCAAACACGCAGTAAATGAAATTTAACACAGAGAGGTAGGAATTGGTTTTGGTATTGGGTAGGAAGAATGATGGGTAAAATTGCAGCAGGGTGGTGGTAGGTGGGTAGATTTCAGAACCTGTAATGGAATTGTGTCTAATTTTACACCCTATCCCTGCCTGCCAACCAAACATTACAGGCAGCAGTGAGGGGTGATGGGGGGAATGCTAGTTTAGGGTGGGTATAAGATTCAGCCCAGAGACTGCAAAAGATAGGAATTTTTGGTAAACCTTTTATAAAACACTGGTTGGACTCCATTTGAAAAGCTGGGAAGAGTCTCAATGAAACACATCTGCAAGGAAGAACATGTTTTTTACTTGAAGCAGTTTTTGCTGTGACTCTTTGATTCAACCATGGTATAAACAAGCCACTTCCAGGTTTTACAACCACACAGAGGATCTTTGGGATGGTATGTTAAATCTGTGACAGGAAAGATTTTTATTTGAAGACATCTTGGCAGGAGGTAGAACAGTTCAACTTTAGAGAGATTGCTGATATTCCACAGGAACGGAGAAGGGACATAGGAAGGCTGACTTCCCTTGAGCTCTCACTCATACCAGAGAGTATGCTTGGGGATCCTAAGACCGAAATGTGAAAATGTTTTCCAGGGATAGAAAGAAGACTCTAGTATCTCAATCTAAGCAGGTGCGAATGTAAGTCAGCGAGTGGGTTGGCAAACAATGTGATCCCTCCAATTTTCACTACAGTGCACTGAGGGTCCAGGAACTTGGCAGGGAATGACAGGTGAATGGTATAACAATTCTAGGAACGAAGCCCCCACACTCTGATTTTCTAAACATTCTCCTGCACAGTATATCTCAGAACAACAAACCTTGTAGCTTCACTGATTCTTCTCTCCCAAAGTACCTCACATCTCCATCTAAACAGATAACACCCACAGTCATCTTCTCAGACCTCTCACACCAACGTCCCACAATATTTCTTCACAGGTGATGACCTTCTGTCTTCTCCACACAATCTATTTTCCATACTAAAACCTCTCTATCTCCTCTTCTTGCAGGAGAAGAGCTTGCACCACACCAGGAGAAAGAGAGGACTGTGTGTATAAGGGGACAGAAGGATTAGGACATGGCTCCCCCATGTCAGCCATTGGCAATGTGCAGCCAACTGGGAAGAACGTCACTCCACGAGGCTGCAGAGATTAGCAAGACCCAGCATGAGAACTTGACCTTGTGAACCATAAGTGGTCAGACATATCAAGAGAGTGGTGTGGCGTTGTGGTCTTGCTTCCTTCGAGCTGCACCTCCATGTCTATCTCTTGTGCCCGATGGTGCAGAATGTAACTGAGAAGAAAGTAACTGGTATTGATGCTTCCGCCACTTCAAGTGCTGTTGGTGGTGCTTTTGTTGCTTCCTCTGTTCCACGTCAGCGATTCAAGATTGAGCTGTATAAGCTTCTCTCATACCATGATGAAGGCTGGCAGCAGGGAAAATACAAGTCAGGTGAACAAGAAGACAGGCACATGTGTTACAATTCAGATGGGAGGAGTGCGCTGTTGGTTAAGTCCCGCTCCTCCATGAACCATACCAAAAGTCCAAATTTTTTTTTAACCACCTAAATGGTCAATTTGTTTTGCAGTAATTCTATTATCTGGAACAAAAGAAACCACCACTAGGTTTTCAATAAACTAAAAAGAAACTTGTTTATTAGGCACAAACATATTTGTAAAATGAGTGACAAACTAGGTTATTAACTAAGATATTTTCAGACTTAAACTCTACCCCCTTAATTCCACAAACATTCACAAATGTATAGGACAAGATGACACAGCCCTTGAAGATCAATGAGGCCATCTATGTGTAGAACCACAAGATTTGGTTGGGATCCTAAACAAAGATTTCTCATCAGTATTTACCATGCAGAAAGACATGGAAGCTATGGAATTCAGAGAAATAAATATTGATGTCTTGAAAAGAGTCCACTTTACAGATGAGGAGGTGCTTGAGGCCTGAAAACATATAAAGGTTGATAAATCACCAGGAGGTGATCAAGTGTATTCCAGGACATTTTGGGAAGTTATGGGAGAAATTGCAGGGCCCCTAGCAGTGATATTTCTATCATTGACAGCCATTGGTGAGGTGCCATAAGATTAGAGGATGGCTAATGTGATGCCATTATTTAAGAAAGGCGCAAGGAAAAGCCAGGGTACTATAGACTGGTGAGCCTAATATCAGTGGTGCATAAGTTGTTGGAGGGGATTCTGAGGGATAGGATTACATGCACTTGGAAAGGCAAGGACTGATTAGGGATAGTCAGTATAGTTTTATGCAATGGAAATCATGTTTCCAAATTTGATTGAGTTTTTTGAGGATGTGATCAAGAAGATAGAGTGGTACACTGTCTACATGGACTTTAGTAATGCCTTTGACAAGGTTCCACATGGTAGACTGGTTAGTAAAGTTAGATCACATAGGATTTAGGGAGAGCTAGCCAACTGGATACAAAATTGGCTTGACAGTAGTAAACAGAGGGTAGTGGCAGAGGGTTGCTGTTCAGACTGGAGGCCTGTGACCAGCGGTGTTCCACAGGGATTGGTGCTGGGTCCACTATTGTTTGTCATTTATATAAATGAATTGGATGAGAATATAGGAAGCATGGTTAGTAAGTCTGTGGATGACACCAAATTAGTGGTATAGTTGACTGTGAGGAAGTTTATCTAAGATTACAAAGGGATTTTGATCGATTGAGCCAATGGGCTGAGGAGTGGCAGATGGAGTCTAATTTAGATAAATGCAACGTGCTGCGTTTTGGTAAGATGAACAAGGGCAGTTAAAGGTAGAGACCTGGGGTGTGTTGTAGAACAGAGAGACCTCTAAACCTTTTCTATCCATGTACTTATCTAAATTTCTTTTAAATGTTGTAATTGTGCCCACCTCTTTCACTTCCTTTGGCAGCTTGTTCCATATAAGAACTATCGTCTGTGTGAAAAAGTTGCCCCTCAAGTCACTTTTAAATCTTTGTTGTCTCACCTTAAGCCTATGCCCTGTAGTTTTGGACTCAACTACTCTGGGGAAAAAACCTTGTCTATTCATGCCCTTCATGATTTTATAAGCCTCTATAAGGTCATTTCCTATGCTCTAGGGACAAAAGTCTCAGCCTATCTGGCCTCTCCTTATAATTCAAATCCTCCAGCCTTGAGGACGTTTTTGTAAATCCATTTTACACCCTGGTCTTATGCAGTTGAAGAAAATAGGCAAAAGTGGAATAAAACTCCAGTTGGTCAAAGGTTCAGATTCAGGAGAGAGAGTGGATTAAATTTTCATTTTCCTTTGATTTCCTGTCTGTGAGATTCACTTGCTGACAGTGGCAAAATGAAAGAAAAACTAGATCTGATTTTATATGTAATAGGAAATAGTTAGGAAGCTGGATATTTGAAAATTAATCAGGCTTCTTCAAACAACTTCACTGAGAGAGAAACAGCGTTTTATCTGGTTTTGCATTAAATATTTTTCACTTACTGACAGAGATAGTACTCCCTTCCATTGCAAACTTCTCTGCAGCTGCCACAACTGGTTGTATGCTGAAATAAGAAGCTTCACATCAGAGGCTGTTACTAGGCAATATTCAGCAAAGATCCCAGGGATTTTACAAGTCTATTCATCCAACAGTTAAGCCATAAATACATAATGTAACTCTTCTTAAAATCTTTGCTAAACATGCTTTCCAGAAAGTCAGTTGATGTTTGTAAACAATTGGTATATCAGTAACTTCTGACCTTTTAACTGAAATCACATGATAAATCTCTCTTCAATCCTTCTAAACAGTTCAATATTCCAATTTATAAGACTTCATATATGTTCTTAATAACTGTCAAACATGGAAAACACTTATCCAGGATAAAGCAAATAGACAAGCTGGGGTCAGGAATAGTTCCTTTGGCCCTCCAAACCTGCAATCAGATGCACTCTCAGCGCTAAGCTGTCATACAGGCAGGACTGCAGTAAATCAGTTACATTGTGTGTAAACTTCCCAGACTGTCAGTTTCACAAAAAAGTGCCTCACCTGGTTGATCCTGGTCAGTTCCACACAGCTTGGGAAGTCTTTGCACTGGTTATTAAAGCCAGAATACTAGATTAAATCTTCAACGTGTTAAAATTACTTACTGATAGCATTACAGAGGTTTCCTACAAACCCATCCATGTCACACTTACGAATAGGTGAGATCATAACAGGTATCCAATCCAATGTCACTTTGCAGCTTTAATACCCGCCCACATTTGAACCCACCTCTACATTTGGCAGTGGAAATGCTCAATTC